TCGTCGTAGTAGTAGTAGTAGTAGTAGTCGTAGTAGTAGTAGTAGTAGTAGTAGTAGTAGTAGTAGTAGTAGTGGTAGTAGTAGTAGTAGTAGTATTAGAAGTCGTAGTAGTAGTAGTAGTAGTAGTAGTAGTAGTAGTAGTAGTAGGTGGCCTGGCGGCCGAATGGCCTTTAGCTGCCTTCAGTGACCTTCAGCGGCCTTAGTTGCCTTGAGTGCCTTCAGTGGCCCTGAGCTGCAATCAGTAGCCTCTAAAAACACACGCAAAGATGACCTTTGAACAGGACTCACTCAGCCATAGCCTCCGCCTGGGGGATCGTTATATGGGGGGGGCATCGGCAAGGGGCGGATCTGGAAACATGCCCCCCCCTGCCCCCCCCGGGGCCCGCAGGTCGATCTCCGAGGCGGTGGAGGATGGCTCTGGGTACAGCTGGACTGGTCGGGTCGGGCGAAAGGGGGGGATAGCAAAGGGGGGGTTTGAGAATCAGCTCACGTAGCTGATTTTCCTGGCGCTTCCCAGCGCCGGGAGGCGCCCATGTATCGAGAAATGGGCCTGGCGGCAAGGCCGAAACCAGCTGCATGCAGCAGATTCCGTAACCCTCCCTTTCCCTATCCCCCCCTTTCGTTCGGCCCGGACCTGGGATAGAAGAGCATCCTTCCAGAACGTCAGACCCTCGGCCGGCCCCCAAACTCGGGAACCCTCGCGGACATATCCCCCCCAGGATGCACAAGAGCATCCAGCAGGCACCAAGAAGATCAGGGTACCCTCCCCGACGAGCGAGGCGGGAGAGCGAAAAGGAGGAGGCCTTCTCAGAATTTCTCTGTGTCTTCGGGGAAGGCTCAGAGAACTTTTGAGAAGGGCGGAGGCTTCCGAGCCTTTTTAGAAGGCCTTCTCCCTCTCACTTCCCCCCAAGGCTCGCCCCCAACTTCCCTTCATGGGCGAAAGGAAAGGGCCACATTTGATTCCGATACGCTGGGAAAGAAGCATCACAGGAGAGGCCAGTCATCGATCTCGGTCTTGTGGGGCGCTTGGGGGCCTGGACCCATCAGGAATTGCTCGGGACGGAAGCCCGTCCACGGGCTTAGGTATTCTCCCCCGACGGCGTTCGTGACGTGAGCTCCTGGGGATCTCGACCTCTTCCTGGGGGCCCGCTCGAGGAGATCGGCTACAGAATTGATGAAACCCAACAGTGATTTGCTTTCCGCCGAGTCTACGAAGAATACATAGCATGTTCGCAGATCTGCATGCGTTCTACGCACTTGTTGTAGATTCGACACACACAATTTTCATTCCTGGGATAAGTCGATTCCGTAGTCGATCTCCTGCTCAAACCGTTGTTGGACAATCCCAGGGCTGGGAAGCGGCCTCCTGAGGCCACATAGTGAACAAAAAACGGCCGTCGCGATGTTCTGGGGAAGCCAGGATCTTAGGGTAATGCTCTTTAGGGGGAGGGTCACGTCGCGATGTCTCGAACAAAAACACTGCGTCAGAGAGATGTATATACGCGGCGATGGCGGTGCTTCTCAGATCTCCGATCTTCTAAGAAGTTGTTGTGTTTTCGGGGAAGGCACAGAAAACTTCTAAGAAGGCTTGAGGCCTTCCGAGCCATCTATGAAGGCCTTCTTCTTCTCACGTCCTCCTGGACTCGCACCCGACTTCCCTTCATGGGAGAGAAGAGGGGCCATGGTTAATTCCAATGTGGCAGCTCCGCGCTGCCGCCGCCACCCGTGGGCCAGCCGTCGCGCGGCCGTGCCACCCCTTGCGGGCAGACATCTTGAGAGGTCTTCTCCCTCTCCTCCGTCTCCTGCTCCTCCTCCTGTCTCCTCCCTCTACTCCTCCTCCTCCTTCTGGTCCTCCTCCTCCTCCTTCTCCTCCTCCTCATACTCCACATGCTCCTCCTCAGCCTCCTGCCCTTCCTCCTCCTCCTCCTCCTCCTCCTCCTCCTCCTCCTTCTCCTCCTCCCTCCCCCCATCATCCTCCGCCTCCTGGACCTCCTGCTCCTCCTCCTCCTCCTCCATCTCCTCCCCCACCACATGCTCCTCGTCCCCTCCTCCTCCTCCTCCTCCACCTGTTCCTCCTCTCCACCCTGCTCGGCATCCTCGTACTCCCTCCTCCTCGTGCTCATCCTCCCTCCATCTCCTCTGGTACCTCACCCTCCTCCCCCCCCCCCCTCCTCCTCCTCCACCCCCGCTCCTCCTCCTCCCCATCCTCCTCCTCCTCCATCCTCCTCCTCCTCAACCTCCTCCCCCACCACATGCTCGTCCGTACTCACTTCCTCCAACTCCTCCTCCTCCTCCTCCTCCCGCCTAACCCCTCCTCCTCTATCCATGCTCATCCCTCACATCCTCCTCCTCCTCCTCCTCATCATCATCATCAGTCTCCTCCTCCTCCTCCTAAGCACCTCCTGCTCCTCCTCAACCCCCCCTGTCCTCCCCTCTCCTCCTCCTTTCCTCCTCCTCTTGCTCCTCCTTCTCCACCTCTCACCTTGCACCTCCGCCTCCTCACCTATTCCCACCTCCTCTCCTCTTCTTCCTCTTCCTCCTCCTCATCCTCTTCCCCCACCACCTCCTCCTCTTACTCCCTCCTCCCCCCCCCTCCTCCTAACGGTCCTCCTCCTGCTACTCCTGTTCCTCCTCCTCTTGGTCCACCTCCTTCTCCTACTCCTCCTCCTCCTCCTTCTCCTCCTCCTCGTCCTCCTCCAACTACTCCCTCCAGCCTCTCCTCCTCCTCCTTTCTCATCCTCCTCCTGCTCCTGCTACCGCCTCAACCCCTCCTCCCTCCACCTCCTCCTCCTCCTCTTCCTTCTCCTCCTCTATCCTACAGAATTATCCTCCTCTTCAACATCCTCCTCCAATACGTCCTCGCTCCTCCTCCACCACCTCCTCCTCGCTCCACCTTCCTCCCTCCTCCTCCTCCTCCTCCTCCTCCTCACCTCCCCCACCACCCATCCACTCCCTGTTCTCCTGCTGCTCCTCGCTCCACCACCTCGTCCACCTGATCCTCCTCATCCCCCTCCTTCCATACCTCCTCCTCCTCCTCCCACCCCCTCCTCCTCCTCCCCCTCCTCCTCACTCCTCCTCCTCCTCATCCTCTTTTGCTCATCCTCCTCCCGTCCTCCTCCTCCTCTTTTACTCAACCCTCCATCTCCTCCACCCTCCACCACCTCCCCTCACTCCTCCTCCTCCTCCTCCTCCTCCCCTTGCTCCTTTCCTCCTCCTCCTCCCAGTCTCCTCCCTCATCCCCCCCTCCTCCTCCTCCGCCTCCTCCTCACTCCTCCTCCTCCTTGTTTCATCCCCTCTTTCTCCTCCTCTACCTCCTCCCCTCTTTGGGGTCCCTCCTCCTTCCGCACCTCCTCCTCCTCCTCATCAACCCATCACGGGGGGATCAGCGGAGGCACGCTGTGGGGGCAATGACCCCTCCCCCCAGGTGGACCCCTGACGGCTGGCCCCACAGGTGGGTCAAAGGAGTGCGGTTCTCCTCCTCCACACCTCCGCTCGGCCGCGCGACCCGGGGGCTTACGGCGAGAGAGGCACGCGATAGGAGGATGGAGGAGGAGGAATGCGTGAGGAGGAGGAGGAGCAAGAGGAGGAGGAGGAGGAGGAGGAGGAGGAGGAGGAGGAGGCGGAGGGGAATGGGGGAAGGGCGAAGGGGGTAGCCTGCTCGGGAGGAGGGGGGGAAGAAGAAGAAGAAGATGAAGAAAAAGAAGCAGAGTATGAAGAATAATAAGAAGAGGAATAATAAGAAAACTCATAAGAAGAGGCAGGAGGGAAAAGGGTCTTACGAAAAGCTGGGAGGCCACTCCCTGAAGGTCTCTGTGGAACGGCGGAGGACTACTCTAGGCCCGATTCCACCAGGCCGGATCGAGCCAGACCAGACCCAATCTGGACATTGGAGACCGAACCGTGAGCGGTACACTCGACCACGATAGTAAGGATGCGCGGTAAGGATGCAAGGGCCTTTGAACGCAATGTTGATGTTTTTCGTGCGGAGCGCAGCAGAATGTCGAAGGATGCCGAATACCGAAGGGGCAAGGATGCAAGGGTAGCCTTGGAAAATTGCCCCATCCTTACTATCATGGTTGACTGTATTGGGCCGGGGTGGGACGGTGCCTTTCCGCGGATGCACAGGCACGGATGCTGAATGTTGGGCCTCCCGGGAGCTGCAGCCGAGAAAGAGGGCGCGGCGAAACGAGATCGATCGCGAAGTCGGTAATGCCGAGTTCCGCCTCGAGCGGCGCGCAGTCTCGGGCCGAGGAAACAGGAGGCAGAGTAAACCACACGAGAACAAGAAGAAGAAGAAGAAACATAAACAATACCTGCATGAACAGACACTTTCGGGGCTCCGCGTGGATTCCGTGGACCCGCGCTGGAGCCTCCTCCCTGGTGCGCGGAGCGCGCTAGGGGCGGCGCCGGAGGCGCCGCCAGGGGGGGCCACCGCCGATCCCAGATCTCCGTGTGGAGCTCCAGAAGTTTATTCTGTATGAGCACTTGATTATTCCTCGAGGCGTGAGAAGGCAGGGCGAGGTTTATGTCGGGCCTGTCCTCCTACAAGGAGATTTGCTACGAAAACTAAGCACTAGTCGAAAACAAGACCCCAAGATGGCCAAAACATGCCAAACGAATCGTCCCCAGACTATTTATAATTCTTTTTGAACTGTCTTCCTGTAGAGGGACAGGCCCGACTTAAGGCAAGGGCGCAGGGCCAGGCGACGTGCGCGCCGAGCAGGCATGCAGGGGGCGGCAGGCCAGCGCACGGGGCCGAGGAGGCACTGGGTGCAGTGGGGCGGCCCCGATTCAGAATGGGGCACTGACTGCTTTGGCTTCAGGAGGGGAAGACCACACAGACACAATTGATCGTCGTTTCCCCAGAAGATGTGGGAAAGTATGGGACGTGGGGGGGGGGACGAAAATCAAAACAATGAAAATGTGAGGAAATCCGCGATTTGTGTTTCTTTATGTGCGTGTGTGTGTGTGCGCGTGTGTGTGTGTGTGTGTGTGTGTGTGTGTGTGTGTGTCCCTGGGCCCCTCCATGCTTGAGCAGCCACAGCCGAGAGCCCGTTGCGCGACCCCGATATCATGCGAGCCTCTTCCGGATCAGGAGCGTTCCGGCTCGGGGGGGCAGGCGAAGCAGCGGCAGCCGCAGAAAGATTGCGATGACTCGATTGACGGTGGGCAGCAGGCCCAATGCAGGCGAGCATCGCTTCTCGCATAAACGTGCAGGCATTGCACTGCGGCAACGAAAATGCAGCGAGCATCCAGCCCAATGCACGTGATGATCACATCTCCCTGAGAAGTGACAAACGTTGTGGCGATGAAAATCGTTTCAGTCGAATGCTGGCCCGTGTGGGTCTCCGAATCCCTCGTCCCAGCCCGTGCCAGGATCGACGTATGGAATATGTGGAGGTCCGTCGCTCTCTGAGCAAGGCTCGAAGTTTGACGCGTCGGACTTGGACTTCACCTGGGGAATGTACGGTGGAACCATCGTGCGCGCTGCCAGACTGCTCCAATCGAACTGCACCCTCGAGTACCACGAACTCTGCTTGATATTCATCACGCCCCCTCTGCGCATCGGGAGCCTCTGACCAGGCTCCTGCTTGCAGAGCTCCATGACGAGCTTTGCCCAAGAGGCACTCCTGTTGGGAAATTTCGCGCTCTCGATGCCACGCTTAACCTTCTTGAAAATCGCCATGTGCTCATGAGCGCTGAAGGGTGCGTCAGAAACGATAAGCTCGTATGTCATGACCCCAAGGGTCCACCAATCCACTGCAAGCGTGTGACCACTGCCCATAATCATCTCGGGCGCGAAATAATCGGGGGTGCCACACGTGGTGTACGTGTGCCCGACCACGAACTTCGCCAGCCCAAAATCCGTGACCTTCGCGTACCCATTGGTGTCTAGCAATACGTTCTCTGGCTTGAGGTCACGGTAAAGAATACGGCGTTGATGAAGGTGCTCAAACGCCATCACTACGCACGCAATGTAAAATCGAGCATGGGCCTCCTTTCCGTACAATCTGTTCCGCTGGTAGATCGTGAAGAGCTCGCCGCCTAAGGCAGGCTCGATGAGAAAATCCGCCCAAGTGCCCTGAGGCACGACTTGAAGTGCCCTAAGGTCCCTTGGAGTCCTCCGTCCTCAGTCGTGGATGACTGGGTATCAAAGGGGACCTCACATTCCCGATTCTTTTGGGGCGCGTCGAATGCTTGCTGGTGCTTGGCGCATGGCCCCGCGAGACTCGCTTGAAGACCAGCGAGCCCTACGACGGGCAAGGAGGGCCCCAAGAGACCCCCGAGACGGTCCAAGAGCGCCCCAAATCGCCCGAAGATCGCTCTAAGACGCCCACGATGGAATCCGGACGGCCCAAGAGGCCCCACGAGAGCTCCAAGAGCACCACCAGAAGGGCCCCGAGAGACTAAAACGATGTTAGCGCTCTCGCCGCCTGTGACATTCGACGCTCCGAGATGGCACAAGAGGCCCCCAAGATCGCCCCAAGACGGCCCAAGAGGCCCCAAAGACGACGCAAGAAGGCCCAAAGACGGCCCAAATGAGGGCGCCGAGAGGCGCGACAGAGGGCTCCAAGAGAGGCCCCAGAGGGGCAGCACAAACTCACATTTCGAGCTCGCCGCCCGACGAGAACCTCCGAGACAGCCCGCAGGCCCCCAAGAGGCTCCTTGGAAGACCCACGGCATCATCAAAACTAAAGCAACCTCGTAACCTCCAAGAGGCTCCCAAGATGTCCTCCCCAGGAGCACCTCCTAGCGACAGACAAACCAACAAGGCACGTTGTGCGTGAAAATTCCGAAGGCCCCAAGAAACCTCCGCCCCCTTCAATCAGGTGATCACGGCGTGCAGAAGAATCACTTCAGTATAGTTTAGTGTGAAATAATCCAAAAGAACCTCCCCAATCCCCCTCCGGCCCGTCCGCCACCGTTCCCAAAAACGGCCGATACGCTCGTGACAAAAAATCCTCAAAAAACGCGAATATTGCCAAGATGGCCTCCAATTCCGCCCAAGATGGTCCAAGACGGCCTCCAAGACGGCCCAAGAGAGTCCAAGACGGCCCAAGACGGCCCAAGAGGCCCCCCAGAGGCCTCCCAGACGGCCCAAGAGGCCTCCAAGAGGTCCTCCAGGAGAGTCCGAAGAGGGCAAAATCATAGATTTTCCCTTGGTTTTTGAAGGATTTTGGCATTTGCGCCTTTTCGGCTCTCCGACGGCTCAAGACGGCCCAAGAAGCCCCCAAGATCGCCCAAGATGCCCCCAAGAGAGCCCCCTGATGGCCCAAGTGGCCTCCAAGATGGCCCCTAGAGGGCCCCAAGACGGCCCAAGAGGCCTCCAACACGCCCAAGATGGCCTCCAAGACGCCCAAGATGGCCTCCAAGACGGCCCTGGAGCGCCCCAAGAGGGTCCCCCGTTGGCCCAGAAAGGCCCCCAAAACGGCTCCCGACGGCGTCAGACGTGCCAGGAACCCACCAAGATGGCCGAAGTTGGCTCGAAGCTGGCCCAAAAGGGCCCAAGAGGCCCCCAAGAGGGCCTCCAGGAAGGCCAAAAGATGCCAAAATCACTGATTTTCCCAAGGTTTTTGATGGATTTGGGCATTTCCCTTTTTTCGGCCTTCCGACGGCCCGAGACGGCCCAAGAGCCCCCAAAGATCGCCGAAAGATCGCCCAAGAGGCCTCCAAGACGGCGACGATGACCATCAAGACGCCCACGTGTTCCCCGAAGGCTTTCCAAACCGATTCGGGTAACACATGGTCCGATGGCTTGGCAGGTCTGGCCTCAACGTTCGGCCACATAGGCGCTTCCACAAAGGCAGGGGGCGGCGGTGATTCGCCGTAGGCGTCTTCGATCCGCCGCCCCCTGTCGAGTCATCGCAGGGGTGCCTGGCGTGCTGGACCCTCTCGGTTTGGGTTTTGGTTCCTTTTCCAAAAGAACCCCCCCTGGGGCTCCGGCACGTCCCGCCGCCCACCCGGAAACTGCGGCGGTCAATGCCTGAAACGGCCGTTTCGCTCGGGACATCCTCAACAAATCGCGAAGATGGCCCAAGATGGCCTCCAAGTCCGCCCAAGATGGTCCAAGACGGCCTCCAAGACGGCCCAAGAGAGTCCAAGACGGCCCAAGACGGCCCAAGAGGCCCCCCAGAGGCCTCCCAGACGGCCCAAGAGGCCTCCAAAAGGTCTACCAAGGTGGGCCCGAAGAGTGCCAAAATCATTTGATTTTCCTTTCGTTTTTGAAGAGATTTTTGAAATTCGCTTCTTCTCGGCATTCGACGGCTCAAGACGTCCAAGAGGCCCCAAAGAGCGCCCCCAAAAGAGGACCTCGGAGATAGCCCCCATTTACGGCCCAAGTAGCCTCCAAGATGGCCAAGAGGGCCCCAAGACGGCCCAAGAGGCCTCAAACACGCCCAGATGCCTCCAAGAGCCAAGATGGCCTCCAAGACGGCCCCGAAGCGCCCCAAGAGGGTCCCCCGTTGGCCCAGAAAGGCCCCAAGACGGCTCCCGACGGCGTCAGACGTGCCAGGAACCCACCAAGATGGCCGAAGTTGGCTCGAAGCTGGCCCAAGACGGCCCAAGAGGCCCCCAAGAGGGCCTCCAGGAAGGCCAGAAGATGCCAAAAACAGTGATTTCCCTAAGGTTTTTGACGGATTCTGGCATTTCCTTCTTTTCGGCCTTCCGACGGCCCGAGACGGCCCAAGAGCCCCCAAAGATCGCCGAAAGCTTGCCCAAGAGGCCTCCAAGACGGCCAAGATGACCTTCAAGATGCCCACGTGTTACCCGAAGGCTTTCCAAACCGATTCGGGGAGCACTCCAAGATGGCCTCCAAGATGGCCAAAATGGCCGAAGATGGCCTCCAAGATGGTCCAAGATGGCCTCCAAGTCCGCCCAAGATGGTCCAGACGGCCTCCAAGACGGCCCAAGAGAGTCCAAGACGGCCCAAGAGGCCCCCCAGAGGCCTCCCAGACGGCCCAAGAGGCCTCCAAGAGGTCCTCCAGGAGGGCCCGAAGAGGCCAAAATCATTTATTTTCCCTAGGTGTTTGAAGGTTTTTGGCATTTGCGCCGTTTCGCGTTCCGACGGCTCAAGACGGCCCAAGAGGCCCCCAAGATCGCCCAAGAGGCCCCCAAGAGGGCCCCATGACGGCCCAAGTGGCCTCCAAGATGGCCCCAAGAGGGCCCCAAGACGGCCCAAGAGGCCTCCAACACGCCCAAGATGGCCTCCCAAGACGCCCAAGATGGCTTCCAAGACGGCCCCGAAGCGCCCCAAGAGGGTCCCCCGTTGGCCCAGGAAGGCCCCCAAGACGGCTCCCGACGGCGTCAGACGTGCCAGGAACCCACCAAGATGGCCGAAGTTGGCTCGAAGCTGGCCCAAGACGGCCCAAGAGGCCCCCAAGAGGGCCTCCAGGAAGGCCAGAAGAGGCCAAAAAACATTGATTATCCCTAAGGATTCTGATATTTCCTTCTTTTCGGCCTTCCGACGGCCCGAGACGGCCCAACAGCCCCCAAAGATCGCCGAAAGCTTGCCCAAGAGGCCTCCAAGACGGCCAAGATGACCTTCAAGATGCCCACGTGTTCCCCGAAAGCTTTCCAAACCGATTCGGGGAACACATGGTCCGATGGCTTGGCAGGTCTGGCCTCAACATTCGGCCGCATCGGCGCTCCCAAAAAGGCAGGGGGCGGCGGTGATTCGCCGTAGGCGTCTTCGATCCGCCGTCCCCTGTCGATTCATCGCAGGGGTGCCTGGCGCGCTGAATCCTCTCGGCTTTGGTTTCAGTTCTTTTTCCAAAAGAACTCCCCCTGGGGCTTCGGCCCGTCCCGCCAGCCACCCGGAAAGGTGCTCAATCCGGAAAAAAATCCTCCTAGATGGCTCAAGATGGTGCCAAGATGGCCACGTTGGCCCAAGATGGCCTCCAAGACGGTCCAAGATGGCCTCCAAGGCCGCCCAAGATGGTCCAAGACGGCCTCCAAGACGGCCCAAGAGAGTCCAAGACGGCCCAAGACGGCCCAAGAGGCCCCTCAGAGGCCTCCCAGACGGCCCCAGAGGCCTCCAAGAGGTCCTCCAGGAGGGCCCGAAGAGGCCAAAATCATTGATTTTCCTTACGTTTTTGAAGGATTCTGGAATTCGCTTCTTCTCGGCATTCCGACGGCTCAAGACGGCCCAAGAGGCCCCCAAGATCGCCCAAGAGGCCCCCAAGAGGGCCCCATGACGGCCCAAGTGGCCTCCAAGATGGCCCCAAGAGGGCCCCAAGACGGCCCAAGAGGCCTCCAACACGCCCAAGATGGCCTCCAAGACGCCCAAGATGGCCTCCAAGACGGCCCCGAAACGCCCAAAGAGGGTCCCCCGTTGGCCCAGAAAGCCCCCCAAGACGGCTCCCGACGGCGTCAGACGTGCCAGGAACCCACCAAGATGGCCGAAATTGACTCGAAGCTGGCCCAAAAGGGCCCAAGAGGCTCCCAAGAGGGCCTCCAGGAAGACCAGAAAAGGCCAAAAACATTGATTTTCCTTAGGTTTGTGACGGATGTTGACATTTCCTTCTTTTCGACCTTCCGACGGCCCGAGACGGCCCAAGAGCCCCCAAAGATCGCCGAAAGATCGCCGAAGAGCCTCCAAGACGGCCACGATGACCTTCAAGACGCCAACGTGTTCCCCGAAGGCTTTCCAAACCGATTCGGGGAACACGTGGTCCGATGGCTTGGCAGATCTGGCCTCAACGTTCGGCCACATAGGCGCTTCCAAAAAGGCAGGGGGCGGCGGTGATTCGCCGTAGGCGTCTTCGATCCGCCGCCCCCTTTTGCTTTAGCAAAGGGGTGCCTGGCGTGCTGGATCCTTTCGGTTTTGCTTTGGTTCTTTTTCCAAAAGGACTCCCCCTGGGGCTTCGGCCCGTCCCGCCAGCCACCCGGAAGGCGCTGAATGCCCCAATGTCCTGCCCAAGACGGCTCCCTGAAACGGCCGTTTCGCTCGGGACATCCTCAACAAATCGCGAAGATGGCCCAAGATGGCCTCCAAGACCGCCCAAGATGGTCCAAGACAGCCTTCAAGACGGCCCAAGAGAGTCCAAGACGGCCCAAGACGGCCCAAGAGGCCCCCCAGAGGCCCCCCAGACGGCCCAAGAGGCCTCCAAGAGGTCCTCCAGGAGGGCCCGAAGAGGCCAAAATCATTTATTTTCCCTAGGTGTTTGAAGGTTTTTGGCATTTGCGTCGTTTCGCCTTTCCGACGGCTCAAGACGGCCCAAGAGGCCCCCAAGATCGCCCAAGAGGCCCCCAAGAGGGCCCCATGACGGCCCAAGTGGCCTCCAAGATGGCCCCAAGAGGGCCCCAAGACGGCCCAAGAGGCCTCCAACACGCCCAAGATGGCCTCCAAGACGCCCAAGATGGCCTCCAAAACGGCCCCGAAGCGCCCCAAGAGGGTCCCCCGTTGGCCCAGAAAGGCCCCCAAGACGGCTCCCGACGGCGTCAGACGTGCCAGGAACCCACCAAGATTGCCGAAGTTGGCTCGAAGCTGGCCCAAGACGGCCCAAGAGGCCCCCAAGAGGGCCTCCAGGAAGGCCAGAAGAGGCCAAAAACATTGATTTTCCTTAGGTTTGTGACGGATGTTGACATTTCCTTCTTTTCGACCTTCCGACGGCCCGAGACAGCCCAAGAGCCCCCAAAGATCGCCGAAAGATCGCCGAAGAGGCCTCCAAGACGGCCAAGATGACCTTCAAGATGCCCACGTGTTCCCCGAAGGTTTTCCAAACCAATTCGGGGAACACGTGGTCCGATGGCTTGGCAGGTCTGGCCTCAACGTTCGGCCACATAGGCGCTTCCAAAAAGGCAGGGGTCGGCGGTGATTCGCCGTAGGCGTCTTCGATCCGCCGCCCCGTCGATTCATCGCAAGGGTGCCTGGCGTGCTGGATCCTTTCGGTTTTGGTTTTGGATCCTTTTCCAAAATAAATCCCCCTGGGGCTCTGGCACGTCCCGCCGGCCACCCGGAAAATCCCCAGTTCCCCAATGTTTCGCTCAAGATGGCCCAAGATGGCCTCCAAGATGGCCCAAGATGGCCTCCAAGTCCGCCCAAGATGGTCCAAGACGGCCTTCCGGACGGCCCAAGAGACTCCAAGACGGCCCAAGACGGCCCAAGAGGCCCCCCAGAGGCCTCCCAGACGGCCCAAGAGGCCTCCAAGAGGTCCTCCAGGAAAGTCCGAAGAGGCCAAAATCATTTATTTTCCCTAGGTTTTTTGAAGGATTCTGGCATTCGCTCATTTTCGGCTTTCCGACGACGCAAGGCGGCCCGAGGGGCGAAGGCCCCCAAGACGGCTCCCGACGGCGTCAGACGTGCCAGGAACCCACCAAGATGGCCGAAGTTGGCTCGAAGCTGGCCCAAGACGGCCCAAAAGGCCCCCAAGAGGGCCTCCAGGAAGGCCAGAAAAGGCCAAAAACCTTGATTCCCTACCTAGGCTCTGCCTAGAAGGGTTCTTACTCGGTATGCTTAAAAGGCCGGGCAGTGTTCCTCGCCCCGGGCGGTTCCCCCGGCATCCGCCCCGCGGTTCCCCAGGATCCCCCGCTTTGCCTAGCCAAGCTTAGCTTAGCTTAGCCTAGCCTAGCCTAGCCTAGCTTAGCTCAG